GTACCGAGTTCTTGCAGGACCGATTCTACATATTTGTGGCTCTGTCGTTTTCAACTTGTATTTCAAAAGGAAATGGCATAGTAATATGCAGCACACAAGAAAGAAAGAAAGAGAGAGAGAGAGAGAGAGAGAGAGAGAAGAAAAAGGAATTCCAAAAGGGTCAATTTGCAAAGTACTGCAAGAAGGATCCCTTGTAGGAAGAGGGACATATTCTCTCTCTCTCTCTCTCTCTCTCTCTCTCTCTCTCTCTCTCTCTCTCTCTCTCTCTCTCCCTCTCTCTCTCTCTCTCCTTCCTTCTTTCCTTCCTTCTTTTTCTTTCTTTTCTTTCTTCTCTCCTCCCTCCCCCTCTCTCTTTTTCCTGCCAGTCCTGGGGCTTGAACTCAGGGCCTGGGTCTCCCCCCCCTCCAGTGCTCTACCAGTTGAGCCACAGCCCCATTTCCAGCTTTTTGGTGGGTTAATTGGCTATGCTTCTCGCTGACTTTACTGCCCAGGTTGGCTTTGAACCACGATGCTCAGATCTGAGCCTCCCGAGTAGCTGGAATTACTGATATCTGGCACTGACATTTGGCAAGAAAAGTCTATTTCTAACAACGAGGTCATCCAAGGCGCGATTTGACCCTCAGGCTCCCGGCATGTTTGAAGTGACTCAAAACGAAAGTCTACGCTGGAAGTTGAATTTTTCATAAAAGAAAGCGTCGCAGAGATGGACTTCTCCAACGATGTGACTTCACAGTCCCGGGGAGATGGGGACCTCCGAGCGTGGGGATGGGTAATTCTTTAACTCTCTCAAAGGGTTTTTTCATTGAAGGCAGCATAGACGTTTCGGATCTTGGTTCCCAGACAAGCGTAGGGCGCAGAGTGCAGACTTCCCGAACTGTGCGTTCCCAGCGGGGTCTAGGCGGCTTCCTCCCAGCACTACTCATTTGAAAGTTAAGATGCCCCTCCCACCCCCAGCTGAACATCACAGCCACGGACAGCACCACTGGATCCCAAGTTCAGGCTTCAAAGAAGAACCTGCCAAGGAGACAGCCCGCTTGGGGCGCTGGCGGAGCTTCCTACCGACAGAGCACACTTTGGGGCGCACGGGCTATCCCAACTCAGCTCCAGGTCTCGTCGGTCAAGTGGAGATGGGGTGTTGGGTCCCGGCAGGTGGGTGCTTAGCCAACTGTACCCAGAAAGGAAGCAACCGTTCTATAGAAATCTCCCTTCCTCCATCCCTGTTCCCAACTTCGTTTTGATAAGTAAGATTGAACCCGCTATCACGCAAAGACGAGAGGTAGGACCCGGCCGGGCTGGATGACAGTCCCACCCAACAGCCCCCCCCAGATGCGGGACGCTGCCCTGCCCAGAACCACCCATCTACACAATGATTCAGGGACCCCTTCGAGCGCTGGTTCGATTCCAGAATCCCCGAGAGGGCGAGCAAGAGAATGTAACTGGAGGGGGAGACAGGTCTGAAGCTTAGGGGGTTCCGTTGAGGTGAACCCCTTCTCCAGCTGAAGCTGTGGGGCCCGAGGGGGCGGAGGTAATGCATCAGCAGCAAGGTGAACCGTTCTGCGACCCGGGGCCTCTCCACCCAGCTTCCAGGCGGCTCGGAGAACCCCCTGCAGCCCGGAGCCCCCCACTGCCCGAGGCCCGCCAGGGAGGGCTGCTGACTCGGGGCGCTGAGGTCACCTTTTCCACAGTGCTCCGGGAGCAGACGGTTTCCGGGATTTTCACAGCGGCGGCGAAAGGTCCTGTCGAGTCCCAAGCGGTGGCGCCCCGGGGTGGGGACTTTCCTTCTTTGGGTATCATCGGTGCCCCAAGTGAACCTCTTTTCACTGGCTGCCAAAGCTATAATTCCTGCATAAAGGAAACCTTGCTAGTGTTGATGTTTTTTTTCGTCTAAAGGGGGTTTATCTGCAGATTGCTTGAGATCCAGAAGCAGGGAGACTGTGTGAACTCGCGGCCCGGGTTCACCAATGGGTGATGTGTTTGAGGGAAAAGTGGGGTGGGAATAGCTTGGCTCTCCTGCTCTTCCTGCAGCCCCCACCACACACACACAACCCTTGGGGCCTCATTCCCACAGGCCAAGCTCACATTGCAAGCTCAGGCCTAGGGTGCAGGAAATAGCCTTGGCCAGTTTCCAAGAAATTGGGAATGGGGGCCCACCTGTGGGATGGAGGTTGGGCTGCACCAGTCTCTGACTCCCCTAAAACCTAGAGTTGAAGCCTCCATCCTGAAAATGATCCCCCGTCCTCACCTGACTAACCGTTAAATAGCCAATCAACAACCTGAGCTATCCTGTCCTCAGATCTGGGACTTCCAGGAAGGATAAGACTTTCAGGATGGTCGCTGGTTTGGGCATGGATGGTTCAAATCTAGGTGGCTTCAGTCAGAGTCAAAATAAGCGGTGAGAGAATAGGGTGGGAGCTGGGCTTAATCTGTCTTAGAAACTACTGGCTTTGGGGAAGATATGGAAGAAGAGGTGGAGGAGGAGGAGGAGGAGAAGGAGGAAGAGAAGGAGGAGGAGGAGGAGGAGGAGGAGGAGGAGGAAGCTGCCTTGCTGGGTAGATGGAGTCCAGAAGAAAGGGCCTGTAAAGGGACACAGAGCCTAGAAACCTAGTTCTAATCAATGCCATATGAGGAGAGGAAGGATTGGAGTCCTATCTCAGGAGGTGTTCTCTGAGATGGGAGGGGCCCATCTGGACTTTCTGGGCTCCCATCTGAGCTTTCTGGGTCTCTGGGAAACACTGGCTTTCTTCTATATGCCAGGTAAGAGACTGATGCCTGCTGGGCAGACAGAATGGCACATACCCTCACTGTCTCTTCATTGCAAAGAGGTTTGCTAGGTGTGGGCTGTGATTACATTCAATGGGTATCACATCACTTCTTCCAAACTACCATTTTGCCTCATTGCACTGCTAACCACCCTAGGAATCTGAAACAGCTAGAAGCCACCTTCTTTGAGTATTTTTTATTTGTTTATTTATTTTCCGATACCAGTGCTGCGGCTTGAATATGGGGCCTCATGCTCTTGCTTAGCTTTTCACTCATCTGGTGCTCTACCACTTGAGCCACAACTTTACTTGGGGCTTTTTGCTCGTTAACTGGAGAAAAGAGTCTCTGTGATTTGTCTCCCTGGGTTGGCTTTGAACCTCAATGCTGAGAGCTATGCCTCCTAGTAGCTAGGATTACAGGTGTGAGCCATCAGCACCCTGGTTCCTTCTGTCTTGATGATGAGCTTGAGGTCCACAACATCACCCAACAGCCGGATAAACATGACAACGGTCTCTTGGGATCTATTTCATTAAGAGCCTCTGGTAACACATTCTTTGTCCCCAGCCCAGCCCCTATGGACAAAGGGTCTTGACCTGTTTTTAGTCTCCCAGGTGCCTGGAGTCTAGGGCCAGCTTCAAGGCTACCTGCCAGCAGCTGGAACAGGAGAAACTACACCGTTTTGGGGAGAGCCAGGACTCTGGGTGTGATAAACCCTATTTCCTAGAGGTGAGGACTTAGGTCCCAGAAGAGCTCATCTAGGGACCAGAAATGGCCCAGGACTCCAACTGGAGCCAGAGCTACCTGGCAGTCCCCGGCAGGACCAGAGACTCTAGAGAGGAAAGAGGAAGGGCAGGAACCCATCTCCCAGCCTCCTAGAGACAGCACTCTCCTTGCTGGGAGGAACTGAGTTTACCCCCACTGTTTTCACCCCAGTGAGGCTTTGGGGATGCAGTATCCCTCCCCCTCAGCCCTCACAGTCTCTCTGGGCCAAGTGTTAATATCTCCTTCTGCATACTGAAGTGCCAGTGGCTTGCCCAGCAGTGGCAGAGCCAGAGACTAACTCAATAAAGAATTTAGTTTAGGATGCTTCACGCCATGACTTGGGCATGTACTTTCCTAACGGTGAAGCAAAAGATCTGGAAGAATCATTGACAATTTCCTCAGTTCTGGAGGAAACTTTGAGACTTAAAGGATGAAGTCAGGCCTTCAGACTCAATCAACGGTGCCTGGTCTCCAGCCTCACCCCATAACGCTTTGATACCTCAAAGTTCGGAAAGACATTTTGTCTCTTCCCTTAGGGATCACTAAGGAGAATAAACAATACATTGACGTATCTCTTGGATTTGCAGTTTATGCAAATCCTGAAGAGGGAACGTTTTTCTTTTCGGGAGTAACTCGAAGGGAAATGAGGCCCGACATAATGAAGTGAGATGGAGATGTTTGGGGATGGTGGTACACAGGTGCAAATGACACCCCTGCCCGCTGCTGCACCCCTGCGGAGGGAAATTACAATCTTCTGCCCTGCCTGAGAAGCTGCGAACCTGCTACCCCTTTCCCAGCTTAACTGAACGGCCTCGGTGCCTCCTCTTCAACCATCTCCCAGGCGCCCAACCTCTCCTACTCCCAGCCTAGGCCGCTGCGTTCCTAGCTGTCCAATCTCTCCAGTGTCCCCCACCTCCCCGCCCCCACCCGCCACTCCCTGCCCGCGTCTGTGCTCTCCCGCACGTTGCGGCGCGCTGACTCCCGCACCTCTCCCCGTCCCCACGGCCTCCCGAGCACCTCGTAGCCCTGTGTGTTATTTTGAGTGGCCCTGTCTGTCTCCCTCAGGACCCTCTCTCACCTCTCATCCTTGATCCCTCCGTCTCCCGTTTCTTGGGGTCTCCTCTCCGGAGCTCTCCGGCTCTTCTTCCAGGGTGTGAGCTCTGATCATCCTCCCGGGTCTCGGTCCGCGGCCCCTCTCCCTCCTCCCTCCCACCCTTCCCAGTTCCCTCCCTACGGCTCGGCTCGGGGGTGGGGGGGGGCGGTGGCACGGGACGGGGCGGGGCAGGGCGGGCGGGGCGGGGCGGTGACGCGGGGCTGGCCGGGCAAGAGGCGCGGCGGCACGGGGCGGGGGGCGCAGTCCCGGGTCCGCCTGGCCGAACCCCGCGCGCCCCGCCCGCGCCCTACGCCTCCGCCCGGCCGGCCGGCGGGGGAGGGGGCATGAGCCGGCGCCCGCGCGCCGCCGCGGGGAGCTGCGGGCCGGCCTAGAGCCCCGCGCGGGCTCCGCGCCCCGAATTCACCACTGTCCCAGCCCAGCGGCACAGGGCGCAACCGCCGGCGCCGTGATGCAGCGGCCCGGGGAGCCGGGCGCCGCGCGCTACGGCCCGCCCGAAGGCTGTGCGGATCACCGGCCGCACCGTTACCGCAGTTTTATGATCGAGGAGATCCTCACCGAGCCGCCGGGACCCAAGGGCGCTGCGCCGGCCGCCGCCGCCGCCGCCGCGGGCGAGCTGCTCAAGTTCGGCGTGCAGGCGCTGCTGGCGGCGCGGCCCTTCCACAGCCACCTGGGTACGTGCGGAGGCCGGGGGGTGGGGGTGGGGGACGCGGGCTGGGCTTGGCGGGAGGGACAAAGCCGGGGTGCCCGGGGTCCACCCTTCTCCCGTTGGGCCCCCGAGTCGACCCAGGACACGTACGTGTGCGCACTCCACGCTGGGAGGTTGCAGGCAATGGGCTGCACGGAAACCAGGCCTCGTGCCCCTGCGCTGGGCCGTGGAGGGCATAGTTGCTCTCAGCTTCAGGGTAGCTCTACGGCATCCTACACGGTTTGGGGGCCCGGCCCAGGGACCAGAGTCCTCAAGTCCATCGTAGGCGCCTGACTACTCTCCCGACCACTGTGAACTAAAAAGAAATAAATAAAAACAAAATAAAAAAAATTCTCAGGCCCTGAACGCCCGAGCTTTGCTGCACACCCCTGACCAGGAGTGGCCGTGGCTGCCCAGACTCAGAAAGCTGGAGCCCTAGAAAAGGCCTCGCATCTCTGAGTGCCGAGCTGGCCCCAGCCGGCCTCGGAGCCTTCCCGGGCCCTGTGATCCCCAGCCTGCGACCAAAGAGGCCTCCGTCCCAGCGCCGACTTGCTTGGGCCCGGCTGGAGGGCATAATGCTTGGCTGTGAGTCGCTGCCGGGCTGGGCCGCTGCAGTCCTGCAGCCAGTTGACAGATCTTTCTTGCCTCTGTCCTGTCTTTCTTCTTTAAGGGGTTGGTAAGAAGTTGCTCTCTCTTGCCATGTCCTTTCCACCAATTTCCATCTTCCCATTGCTTTTCGTTTTCTACTCTTCGCCCAACCACTTCATTCTGTCTTGGAGGGCTAGGTCTACCTCTCCACTCCTACATTTTCCCTAAAAATTCTTTCTCCCATTACCTCCTCAGTCCTTCTTCCTACTTAGATCTTGCAGGGGGCCTATGAGAGTTTGGGAACTCGCCCCACCATGATACTCCTGAGGGAAAGGAAGGCCTCGTATACTTAGAGGGGACCCCAGCCCCATTAGCCATCTTCCCTGCGCCAGCTCCAGTCGGAACTCACCCGTCCAGAGGCGGTTGGTCTATCTGGGACACAGCTTCTGCCCCGCTTTGCATTTGCATCTGCTCGGTTGTTGGAAATTCGTTTTAAGCGGGCTGAAGAATTTTCTTTAGGACTAAAGAACATGGGAACATTTTCGTGGGAAATAACATGAACAGTGAAAACAGCAACGATAATTTTCGTGTTCGCAGAATACTTTTCAATTTTCAGGAAGCGCCCCACCCCCACCCCCAAATGATGCTCTGGCCGCTGGCTGCGGGGTGGCAGGCTGCGCTTCCCACGGAAGTGCATATGCCCCCCCCCCACTCCAGCCTGTTCTTTTTCGGTTGCAAAAATGATGATTTGGTTGGGGCCATCGCCCACCTTTCAAGTCTTCGTCGTTTCTCCTTAGTTTCCCACGAAAGACATAGCCCGTGCTTCTCAGAGCTGTGAACTTGTTCCTGAGCTTTCAGAAATTTCAGGCTCAGCTTCGGGGCCTGGGAAAGGTAGGGCAGAACACAGGATGGAGGTGTTTTCTCCTTTCAGGATTTCTGGAGGACACCCCATGTGGGAAGGGGTTGCTCGTGGCATGGGGTGCAAATCCAAGCGTCTAACGCCCAAGTGGGTGGCACTAGATGAGTTCTACGCGTGGTACAGTACAGCTCACTCGGGAAGAGCACGGCTCAAGCTCACTGGGATCCTGTTCTCCTCACAGCGGTGCTGAAGGCCGAGCAAGCCGCGGTGTTCAAGTTCCCATTAGCGCCCCTTGGGTGTTCCGGGCTGGGCTCCGCGTTGCTGGCCGCGGGGCCTGGGTTGCCCGGGGCTGCGGGCACGCCGCACCTGCCACTGGAGCTGCAACTCCGTGGGAAATTGGAGGCATCAGGCCCTGGGGAGCCAGGCACGAAAGCCAAGAAAGGGCGCCGGAGCCGTACTGTGTTCACCGAGCTGCAGTTGATGGGCCTGGAGAAACGCTTTGAGAAGCAGAAGTATCTCTCCACGCCAGACAGGTAAGCCTGGGGGCAAAGCCAGGGCCAGCAGACAACTGGAGGGCAATCGGCTGCCCAGCTGAAGATGCGCCCTGCTCATTGCAGGATAGACCTCGCCGAGTCTCTGGGTCTGAGCCAGTTGCAGGTGAAGACTTGGTATCAGAATCGGAGGATGAAGTGGAAGAAAATAGTGAGTGTTCTTGGTGGCTCCTTACACCCTGGGTCTCCCTGATCATACCCTAATTGTGCTCCCCCATCCTCCTCCTCGGAGGCCTCCCAATCGCCCTGACTTCTTGGTAACTGATGTCTGATTGCTTGCACCAGCACAATTAACATTCATTCCTTTCCTTCTGAATGTCCTGGCAGCTTCCACCCCCTTGGCCACATCTGTCCCCAGCAGCGCTCAAATTGTTGCTATTTTCCCGGGACTGGGGGGGTGGGGAAGAGGGAGGGGGGTCCCCCTGGATGCTTTGGGTTATGTCCTTCCGCTGCTCAGGGACGTGAGGCACCCGGCCTCCTCCTCGATCTGTGTCCCATCTCACCACTGCCCTGCCTGTGCCCCTGAGCAGGTGTTGCAGGGCGGCGGCCTGGAGTCCCCTACGAAGCCCAAGGGACGGCCCAAGAAGAACTCCATCCCGACCAGCGAGCAGCTCACCGAGCAGGAGCGCGCCAAGGAGGCGGAGAAGCCGGCGGAGATGCCCGGAGAGCCCAGCGACCCGAGCCGCGAGGACTGAACTCGGTGGAGGTTGGCTGACTCGGAGGGGGACTTTGGCGACTGCCCGTGGTTCCCCTTCGGCCTGCGGGAAGCCACGAGCTGGCCCTTCCGCGGACACACACGCAGCCGTCTTCAAACATGCGGTTAAACTTCGATTGCGGACAATTAGGGGCCAAACAAAGAAGGACACAGACTTTGAAGCCAAGCCCAGGCCCTAACCCAGGAAAGTCGAGTCCAGCACAGCGGGAAACGACTCAGGGGGTGCTCGGATCTCCACGTGCGTTCACGCCCCGCTCCTTGCCCCCACCACACCCCACCTCCGGGCTGCGACGCCGCCCGGCACACGCCCGCTTCCGCGCCCCGGGGACCAGGCGCCCGCGCCCCGGCCACAAGAGAGGACGCCGGGTAACCGTGCTGCCGCTCTGGCAGTGCCTGGGACCGCGTCCCCGAAGTCGCTGGGACTCCTATCCCCTCTCCCCACTCTTGCGAAGACGGTGACTTTTTTTTTCCAATAAAATATTTTATGACACCGTGGGGCTCGGCGCGGGGGCTTCCGAATCTGTCGGGGGTGGAGGGCGCGGCAAGGTTCGAATGGCAGTCGCCAACGATTCTGGGGCATCTTTTTGTCTGGCTCCACGGAGGTGAGATGTGCCCTGATCAGGTATGGCCCACCCGTGACTGAGTCGGTGGGATTTTACGAATCGATTTCACTCTGGGCTCCTGGGGGCCAGCTTGGACTCCAGCTTCCTCCGAATCTCCGGGACTCAACTGTCGGCCACAGCAGCTTACTACCGGCCAGGCGAATCGGGCCCAGAGCTCAGAGCCGCCTGGGTGGTTGGTTCGGGGACTTGGAAGGATCCGCACCTGATCGGCGCTTTTTTTGAAGGCCAAAGCGCATTATAAGAAATTTTACAAAGAGGCAACCACAAGCTGCACGCATCAGTGTAGGCGGTGCTCACCCACAGTTTGCTTTGTCTCTGATTCTCCCCCCCTCCCAAGGGGGGAAGGACCACCAGAGCAGGGACACCAGGGGGTGGCAGAGACAAGACCATTAGCTGCCCCACCCCACAGCCCTCAAAGGGGATCCTTTCTAGGAGCACAACAAGCCAGAGCCGCTCCTCACAAGGAAGGTCTCTGTGGATTACCCTTTTGCCTTCTAGAATGGTCTTAGAACTCTCGTGTGTGTTGTTTCTGTCCCTGTGCTTCTTTAGTGTGAGTAGGGTGATCGTGGAGCAATGGTGAGCTTTTTGGTTAAAGCTCTGAAAAAGTGATACAAGTTGATCATGAAGTACTAAGGGGGGGGGGGTCAGGATTCAAAGCCAGGTCTGTTCCAGCACGACTCCACCCCGACCCCCCACCGCCCCCAATCGAGGGAAAGGAGTGTGGAACACTTACCCTCACGCAAGTGAAGACTTCCTATTTCAGAAAGCAGTGATCCCTCTACAGTTATGGCCCCCATCTGTGATGGTCACCATGACCCTGACTAGGTGTTCCTTGTCCTGGAACCTGAATTTTCCCAGAATACCCAACCTTAATGGGGGAGGTGGGGGGGGGGGGTTGAGGAGGAGAAATTGAGAAATTGAAAGAGAAAGAGGAGGGGGGGAGAGACGGAGAGAGAGAGGCTCACTAACACATTCAGAAGGCTGCCTGGCCAGCCGTCTCTGGCTGGCTCTCATCTCTCCATACAGTCCGTGGTGCCCTGGTTCTCCCCAGGGGTCACCAAGATGACTATGCTGGTTGCCTGGAAGAAACAAATCCTGTTTGTGATGGTGTCCCCTAGTTCTTTCCCTCGGGGCTACCCTTAAGGTCAGTTCAACCTAGCAATGCTTGGTAACTTTCTGTACCAGGCTCTGAGGGCCAAGTGACTTACAGAATTCCCCTTAATCCTTTCCAGTTCAAAGAAGATGGAAGTTCCAGTGTGGAATTCTGAAGCCAGGAGGCCTGGGGGACTGAGTTTCCACTTTGTCTTGGTCATTTCTGCAGAGTTGTGGAAGATTGTCACCTTAGGCAAATTACTTGATTTGCGCATGGAAGGCGTTTCCCGAGGGGGTGGGGGGCGAGGCGGCTACTAACGAGGAGGAATCAAATCACAAAGACCCCAAATTTTCAGTGAGTACAGCTTCCCCCCCCCTACCCCCCCCCCCAACCAGGCAGAGATGGGAACCTGACTCGATGCGAGGTTACCAGTAGGTCAGTTGGGAAGTTGGGCCTCAGAAGAAGGGGGTTTGGATTCCAGGGCTGTGGTGGAGGTTGGGAGTGGAGGGTGTGTGTGTGAAGTTTTTGTCCCAGTCCGCACCGCTCTGCTCCTTGGAAAGAACGGGTATCAGGCACCGCAGACGGAGTCCCTCGGGGCCCGGGAAGAGCTCGGGGCTTGATTGCTTGGGAGAATTCCTGAGATTTGTTGGAAACTCCGGGCGAGCGGCTCCCGTGAACAGCGAAGTCTCCGAGGCAGACGCCAAGCCCGGACCTCAGGCGAAGGGTCCCCACTCTATTCCAAGCAATCCGCTCCTTTGGGCACTGAGCTCCCCTCCCGGTCCACTACCCCAGGCCTGGAGCTTGGAGAAGGGATCTGGTTCTTCCTGGATCCTTGCCACACGAGTCCCTCCTCCGCCCCCAGGTCCTGGGAAACCAAACGCACGGATCAGCCGGCCGAGGCCCTGAGTGCGCTTCCCGGACGCCCCGGGCCCGCGGCTGGGGCCGGGAATGGCGGGGAAGTGGTCTCGAGCTCGGAGGATGGCCGGGAACCCCTGCGATCGATCGCCCGGACACTGCGGAAATGGAAATAGATGGTCTGCGGGCGGTGGGACAGTGAGGATGTCGGGGTTTGCGCTCTGGGGGTGAAGTTGGAGATGGCTGCGTCCGTAGGGAAGGTGTGGGGACGGCCGAAGCGTTGGGGTTCATGCCTCGGATTTCTGAGCAAATCGTCCTCCTGTCGGTAGAAAGGTAGCCAGGGTCCCAAGTTGCCGGACGGCCTATGTTTGGGGGCGCAGGTGGAGGGGGTCTCAGCTTGGTTCAGCCGGTCGCTCATTGGTCCTGGGAGCCCTAGCCTCGCTGTGAACTCCACACAGACACCTACCACCACCCCAGGGCGTCGCAGGTGCAAACGGGAACACCTTATCCCTTTATCTGGCACCTCATTTAATAAAATTAAATTAAAGTGGACTCTGGCATGGATCTTTCCGGATTCTGGATTGGCATGGGAGTCTTTGGTGAAATTTGCCAAGTGGAAGGAAAGAATGGGGGTCCTGAGTCGCGTAAACCATGGTAAACCCCGAGTTTTTAAGTCTCCCTGCCCAGCCCAAGCAAGCTCTCCTATACTGCCAACAGAAAGCCGGAGCAAGGCCTCGAGCCGGCACCGCGTAAGAACTCCAGAAACCCAACCAGACGCGGCCTCGCCTGATCGGTGGCCTGTGGCCTGTGGCCTGATTTCGTTGTTATCTGGCAGGAGTCTCAGCATCCTTCTTGTGTTTCCACACCCCGGGGAGAGGGGAGCCCCTACCCTAGAAGAGACTCGTGGGAGAAGGAACTTGGGAGAGCCCCAGCTGGGAATCTCTGCTCCAAGTCCGGTGTCACAGCACCCCACCCCCAGTTCCCGGGGAAAGCAGCTGTGGCAGCGGGGACTCACCCTAGCCCTTATTGAAGGGATTTGCCAGCAACAGGTCTCCCCTCCCCCAATCTTCTCACCTGAGCGAGCAAAGGAGTTGGGAATCGTTGGGTTTGTAGGCAGGATAGAAAGGTAACAAACAATGGCCATTAGGCCAGCAAGTCTGAGGCTGTCTGCGGCCAGACTCCAGGTGACCTTGCCAGGCCAGACCAGAGGCCTTAGGAGGGCAGGGTATTCCCTCTTGGGCTCGTGCTTAAGTTTTGTTTGTGGTGGGGGCTGAACTCTGGGCCTGGGCACTGTCCCTCAGCTTTTCAGCTCCACCACTTGAGCCACAGCACCAATTCCAGCATTTTCTGCTTATGTGGTGCTGAGGAATCGAACCCAGGGCCTCATGCTTGCAAGGCAAGCACTCTACCACTGAGCCACCTTCCCAGCCCCCCCCTCATGCCTCTTTTTTTTTTTATAAGTTTGTTCTCACCCATATCTAGGTTTATGTGGTTGTTTGGGCTGAGGGGAGGGGGTCCTAGGCTCTGTGGACCCCGGTCCCTCTCAATTGGACTCTGAGGAGTTCTGTTGAGTAGTTGAAATGGACAGCAGTGACCTCAGGGATGAGGAAAGCAGGAAGCCTACAGAGAGGGTCCAGGGGGACACAGCTCCCCCGCTGAGAACTGTGAAGAAGAAAAGCTGCTTAGAGGGATCACAGCCCCTCACCCAGAAGCCAGATGAAAGGTGTGGGTGGGTGTCAGGAGAAGAGCTATTTAGAGAGGCGACTCCAACCTGGGAGGAATTTTAGGAACATGTTAACTGACTGATTTCCCTAATAGTTGCTTTTTCAGGTGTGTGTGTGTGTGTGTGTGTGTGTGTGTGTGTGTGTGTGTGTGTGTGTGTGTTTGCCAATGCCAGGAATCAAATCTAGACCTCCTACATGTGAGACAAGTGTTCTACCACCAAGTCTGTATATGCCCAGCAGTAATATGTAATAAGGGGACGGGGTGGGGGGGGGGGGGAGAAGGTGGAAAATGTTCTAAATCAGATACTGGTGGTGGTTCACACCCGTAATCCTAGCTGTTGTGAAGGCTGAGATTTGAGGATCTCAGGTCAAAGTTAGTCTGGGTAGGCAAATCTGTGAGATTTTCATCTCCAATTAACCACCAAAAAAAACCTGAAAGTAGTGTGTGTTTCAAGTGGTAGAGTGCTAGCCCCAGTACTGGTGCACGCGCACGTACACACACACACACACACACAGAGTACATTCTAATAAAAATCCTAAAAGAGATCTCTGGAGTCTCCAGGTGATATAAAAGCAAAATGACCATTTCATGGGCAACATTTAAATTTTTTTCCTAGTGGCTCAGGGAATAATTAGATGCAGCATCACAGAGCTTCTTATATTTATTGATCAACTTACACCATGGGACTTTCATTCATTTAACAAGCTTTTGATGAAGTATGGCAGGGAATTCCCAACCCTGGGGGCTCTGTGTAAAATACCACCTTAATTCAGTGACAACCCAGCAGTAGAGATGTTCCTAACTTTAGTTCTGCAGAAGATAAAGCCCAGAGATGTTAGGTAACTTGCCCAGGAACACACAGCTATCATCAGCTCTATGGATCTCTTACTATTTGTGTCCCAGCAGCCTCAAGCTCCAGATGCCTTAGGGTTCCCAATGCTTCTGCCATCTGTAACAAATCTTACTGTTTGTAAACCGAAGAGCTTACTAAGTATCTGCTGTGTGCCAGCCGCTGTGCCAGGTGCTACACCCACAGCCACTGACTCGGGAGCTTACATTGGGGGCAGGATGCACAGAGGCGAAGCAGCCACAGTTAAATCCACGGGGGGATTTTATAGAATGACAGATGTCATGA